ATTACTTTAAATACATATATAATAGCAATGAGGCAATAATAATTAGTTCAAATAAAGTATCAAAAGCAAGAAATCCTATGGTTTTATTGAACAAAACTGTTAAAATACATAATGTATTATAAACAATAGAGCTAATGTACATTACGCATTACAACAAAGGCCTGCAGAGGGCGCCAATGGCCTAATGATTATTTTTACACATTGCTGTGCGATCTAATACTTGTTTAATATTGACCAAGCACCATTTAATTCAAATGTCCACTTAATCTTTAATATTTGGCCATTTCTTTAGGACAGAAATGCTAGTCACTGTAATTAAAAGAATATGTGGACATCAAAACGTGTAACCTCAGAGTGAGGGTTTGAGCTTTGCGTAGATTTATAAATTATTTACCTTACAAATCTGATGAAATGGCGCACGTTGCATTCCCAGATGAATGTTATAATAAACCCAAACTCACAACAACATGCAGAGATGGAGGTTGAGACGCTCCACACATGTAAATGATAACAGTTCCTGTGGAACAGCATTTACTGTGAACTGAGCCACTGTGAGACGCACGTACGTAACCTACACGCATGTAAATAATTAAAGCGCATATACTGTATTAGAACTGCATCGCATATAACTATTTAATTAAATCGTAGCGTTTGTGAATTCACAATTATGATCAATTATTATTTTTAATATATATCTTGCAGCCTTGGAAAACAGTCTAATAATGTGTTTTATGGATTCTCGTCTGTGAAATGCGCCACTTCCGGTATTTTGCCGGTTAGTCGACGCAAGCAAAATGAAGCCGAGGATTTTTAAAAATCGAATAGTCAAATAAAATCGACGATACAGCCCTAATACAGACATTAAAGGGGTAATATGATGCGATTTCAAGTTTTTCCTCTCTCTTTGAAATGTTACAAGCTCTTGGTGCATAAAGAAGATCTGTAAAGTTGCAAAGACTAAAGTCTCAAAACCAAAGAGATATTCTTTATAAAAGTTCAGAGTTAACCACGCCTACCTAAAACAGCTCGTTCTAACACGCCCCCACATGTCTACGTCACAATCTGGGAAGATTTGCATAACGCCGCCCAAATGTTCACGCAAAGAAAGAAGGCGTAACTTTTATTCTCGCTGTAGTATTGTTGCCGCCGCCGTCATGTCATGAAGACGCTGTGTGCTTCGTTGTGAAAGCGAAACTACTTTGTTTGGTCTTCCAAAAGAGGACGATATCCACTTCGTCATGCCTAGAGCTGATCCGTGCTGGTCGCTGAGGAAATACATCAACTTTCACCGTGGACAAAGCGGAGTCCAGCCCGCCTCAGCTCACTCTATCCCGGCCTCAGAGCACGCTAAGCCGGGGCTTCGCCTCACGCTAGGCCGCTGTTTTTTCGCTGCCACTGATGACCAAATACACAAAATAATGTTCTTTTTAGCAGCATCATATGACCCCTTTAAAAAAAAATTTTTTTTTTTACATTTGAAATGAAATTGGAAAAAAATCATTCTTAGATTCTAGAACGCTCTAGCCCACAATGCACTGCTGTCTCCTACCTCTCAGGTCTCTCTCCTGAAACTGTGAGATGGGGAACATCATGGCGTCTGCGAGCTGAGTGGAGAGAACGGCGTGACACGAGCTGAGCTGAAAGAAAACACAGTGAAATCTCTCACACACACACTCCCACAGGACCTTCATTAGTGACTGATGATGTTCTGACCTCGTCAATGACTTTAGCAAACTGCTGCAAAGTGGAGCTCATGACCTCATCATCACCTCCCAGAGGAAAACGCTGCACAACAGAGACAGACGTCTTACCATTCAACTATACCACTACATACACACAAAGACAACTTAAGATTAGAAAGCTGAGATACTATGAATAAAATGATCAAAAGGCAGAAATCACCTGTTTCTCGTAGTCTTTCAGTAATTTAGACGTCAGATGTGTGGCAGCACTCAGTTCATTCTGAAAAGAGAAGCACATGAGTCTCATAAAAAAATAATACAAATCATTTTAACCCCAAATTCATTAAAAAAAAAAGTATTATATCATGCATGAAAAAAATATTATTAAGATTTATTCATTATTTAATTTTAATATTATGAATATTCGCTTTTATTTACTTATTTGCATTTATTATTAACAATATGTTTTTATTTTATTTGATAGAAAATCATTAATCATTAACAAATTTAAAATATCAATAATTTATAATAGTATTATATCACATATAATATAATGAATATTTATTATTATTATTAATATACTGATATTATCATTGATAATAATTTTGTAATAATATCAATAATAATATACAAGTGTATTATATCTCGTATAATATAATTAATATTTATTATTACTTTTAATTATTATCATTATTAATATTGATATGATTATTCACAATAATAATAATTGAGTATTTTCAGTAATTTAAACGTCAGATGTGTGGCAGCACTCAGTTCATTCTGAAAAGAGAAGCACATGAGTCTCATAAAAAAATAATACAAATCATTTTAACCCCAAATTCATTTAAAAAAAAAAAGTATTATATCATGCATGAAAAAAATATTATTAAGATTTATTCATTATTTAATTTAATTTTAATATTATGAATATTCGCTTTTATTTACTTATTTGCATTTATTATTAACAATATGTTTTTATTTTATTTGATAGAAAATCATTAATCATTAACAATTTTAAAATATCAATAATTTATAATAGTATTATATCTCATATAATATAATGAATATTTATTATTATTATTAATATACTGATATTTTCATTGAGAATGATTTTATAATAATATCAATAATATACAATAGTGTTATATCTCATATAATAAATATTTATAATTTTTTTATTACATTATTATTAATATTGATATTATTATTGACGATCATAATCATTTAATAATAATATCCATACTACACAATAGAATTATTATGACTCATATAATATGAATATTTATTATTATTCATATTTTATTGTTATTAAGAATAATGTAGAGTAATAATATATAATGCTATTATCTCATATAATAAATATTTATTATTTTTTAAATATTATTGTTGTTAATAATAATTGAAAATATATATTAATAATATATATTGAAATAAATAAATATTTACATAAAAAATACCTAAAAATGGGTTTTATCTTTTGGTTTTGGTATGCAATGTGATCATGACAAGATCTTGGCAGGTTGTGTGTGATTCATCCGTTAAGACTTAAGTTACAGTCACTATTATAATGTGATTACCGAGCATATATCATATACTATGCTCTCACCTGGGCGTCGTAGATTCTCTGCATGGCTTTGAAGAGCTGACTGAAATAACTGGATGTGGCTGCGGTGTCTTCCTCAAACACACCGAGCAGAGAGCGAGTCTGAAACACACCAGCACTGTTCAGACATGACTGCAATATGTTATTACTCTCATAAAATGTGTTGGATGCGTGTAAAACAAGGCCTCAGACTTTATTCTTGAAGCTCAATTGTGAGATTTCAGACTCAGTGTGACACTAAAACTGTCTTCACACCAGAGTGACTCCGAATCAAATGTGAACAGCTCTTGAGGAGTTTCAATCTGATCTCGAAGTACAACATTGTTTGTGTGAGTAAAGCAATGTTTAGACCAACTTACTGTAGGTTTCTTTTATATTTTTGACATCAGTTTTCTAATAACTGATCATTGCCACCACCCATCAAAAGCTAAAGAGCTCAAAATCAAGATCAAACCATTAGGATGAATAGAAACACGGACAAACTCATGATCCGCTGTGTTTAACAGCGAGAGCAGCAGATGTTTGTTATGATCAGTGTTTGTTTATTTATTTCTGTTAGCTTGCTAGCTAAATGCTGCTGATTTACCTGCGGACTGTCCTCCAGAGTTTCCTCTAGCGGTAATTTATCGATTCCCGGCATGACTGCAGATTTACCGCGAGCGCAACGAGCTATTTAGATTATTATTCAGAAACAAAAATCACAATGTTATGAAGTTGATCTTCGCTTTATTCCTGACAAACCAACACCCACCCGGCTCCGCCCACAAACGCGGAAGTCCCGCCTCCTCCCTCCCGCTGATTGGCTGAGGCGCTGCGGCTACTATGATGACGTCCGCGCTTGTTTATAAGAAATAAAACCCATTCGTGGCTCTCTGATGGTTAATTATATTATTATATTAGCGAAATGTTTCATCCATAATTGTATTTTTTTTCCCGAATCACTCATACACTTTATAATATTTATAAATTCATTAAACTTTCAGAAGTATGGCAGGCTGATAGCTGTTCAATATTTGTCAAATGTTGTATTTCAATAAAGGAAAATTAAAACAAAACAAAACATAGGAAATCACAATGTTATGAAGTTGATCTTCGCTTTATTCCTGACAAACCAACACCCACCCGGCTCCGCCCACAAACGCGGAAGTCCCGCCTCCTCCCTCCCGCTGATTGGCTGAGGCGCTGCGGCTACTATGATGACGTCCGCGCTTGTTTATAAGAAATAAAACCCATTCGTGGCTCTCTGATGGTTAATTATATTATTATATTAGCGAAATGTTTCATCCATAATTGTATTTTTTTTTCCGAATCACTCATACACTTTATAATATTTATAAATTCATTAAACTTTCAGAAGTATGGCAGGCTGATAGCTGTTCAATATTTGTCAAATGTTGTATTTCAATAAAGGAAAATTAAAACAAAACAAAACATAGCAAGTGTGGCTCTTATAAAAATTGCATGCGATGTTTGTGTGGAAAGGTGTGGGGAAAACTGAAATAGTGTTGATCATGAGTTGTTAATATAGGTTAAATATGATCAAAATAACAATTTATGAGGCAACCTTTTAAATAATTTCTCATTTATTTTCATTTGTTAAAAAATAAATGCATCAAAGCTTTAGCCTCCTAAACGCTATTTCTATATAGATAAAAAATATATTTTTTACACAGATATGCTTCCAAAAAGACCAAATGCATTAATGGCTATATTTTTATTAAAACAAATATTTATTTATTTGAACAAATTATTGAGTTCTATACATATATTCGTTAACATTAAGACTCTTTTCATATTTCATATTAACTGTCATAATATGCACATAATTCTGGACAAGACGTCTGTCATGGAGTGTCCATTACACTTGCGCTGAGCTGTAATTGTGTGTTTTGTGTGTTCTGGTTTATTTGCTTTGCGTTTGGCATTTCTGAGCGTAGAGATCATATTCTTTGTATAGGATGTATTGCTTCAGTCGGTCTGGTAATGGAAGGAAGCTCATGAAGATCGGAGCTCTCAAACGCAACCGACCCAAACAAGCCCTGATCTTCAGCCGACAGAGATGCTGCAGACAGCGGACGCTCTCTGTGAAGAAACAAAACTAGTCAAAAATGACAGCATGACATGAGCAGAGAAAAAACAATTACACAGCAGAGTTCATATATTTTGCACAAAGGTGTGGGTTTGATTTTGGACATACCAATGGGGAAATTTTTTGATCAAAATTATTGCTAGGGACAATTTAGTAGTGGCTGATATTGGTAGGAACATGTCATAGTGTCCCTACTAAATTCTACACGCTTGAAAATTTATAAGGCTATATTTAAAAATGGTCAAATCTGCAAGATATCAGCATAACATCACAGAAATTTTTATTTAATAAAGTGTGACGCACTAAATTTAGCAACATTTCTGAACATGAATGAAAAAGAATGAACTGGCCAGGGTGTGTTTTTAGTTTTACTCTACTGTAATGACCCTGGGCTGCATCTGGATTCTCTCCTGACCTCTCTGGAGAAGTGTTCGGATGATCTCCAGGTGTCCGGCCTGTGCAGCTAATGCTAACGGCGTCAGGCCGTAGGAGCTTCTGGGGTCGGGATGAGCTCCGAACTTCAACAGCAGATCCACGAAATCCGTCAGGCCGAGCCGGGAGGCTTCATGCAGGGCCGTCCTGCGGTTCGCCCCCTCCTGGTTAACTCTGGCACTGAAGTTTAGCAGGAGCTTCGTCATGTCGTAGTGGTTGTTCCTTATGGCTGCAGAAAAAGAAAAAAAAACATTTGGTCAGGAAGAATAAAGAAGCAATGCCACTAAACTGAAATCAGGCTTTGAGATTGCTGGCTTTTTAAAGAGGAAGTTCATCCTTCATTTGCGATAGCTAGAGATGTCCATCTACTTTACAACTGTTTAAATTCTAATAAAGAATCATATATTTGTATTCTGTAGGGTGAACAATTTGTGCACTGTTAGAATACACTTTTAATTGAGTTTGAAACCACATCTGCATGTTCCAACCACTAATCAAAGTATCCTGGTATATAACTGCAAGTGCAACAATATAACATTTTGAACACAAATAAAGTGGTTATATTCTGAATATAGATTTTAACATGTATAATTTAATTTGTTTAAAATAAATACATATTTTATTCGGTTTAAGAAAAACATGTGTTCCCTAACGCTGTCTATGTTGCAACAATGGTTGTCGCCCATTTCTGTGTGTTGCAGGTGATTGTATTAATTCTTTCCTATTAATTTTCAGACATTTTTCTTAGGGCTGCACGATTATGACCAAAATCATAATTGTCGATTATTCCCTTAAAATTGTAATTGCGATTATTAATCACGATTATCACAATTTACACTGAATGATGTTTATACCATTGTTTGATGCAACAGCATGCCGTATTTTTATATGAAAATAAACAAGCTGTAAACACTCTAACTGAAAAACCTTTAGTGCTTTTCTACAGTATTAAGCCTCAAATGTCAACTATACATCGGATTGGTTTCTTCTTTAAATTGCAAAAAAAGTACAAATATGAATGGTATTATAATGTTATACTAAAACTAAAACAAAGGAAAAACCCTTAAGATAACATGCAGAAAGAAAAAACATATCTTAAGCACGCAGAATAGCATAAGTGGACTTTGAACGATTACGTAATTGTGGCATCCATAATTGTTATCGTGATTACAAATTCGATTAATTGTGCAGCCCTAATTTTGCTAAACTGCTGACAATTTCATGTGTTAAACTTTATTGAAGTCCATGATGTTAATAACTTGCTGATATTACAGATTCCAATCTAAATTTTGATGAATAGAAGCTGAAACAAGAAATAAACCATTAAAAACATTTTTGTTACTTGAAATTAAAATAAACATTTAAAAAATATACTTTATTTCAGCTAGTTGCCAAGACACCATTTTTCATTTGCATTTTGTTTAATTTGATGTACTAAAATAACTAAAACTGAAATCAAATTAAAACTACAGAGACATTTAAAAAAAAAAATTTAAACAAAACATTTAAAACATTACATTTAAAATGGAAAACGAAATAAAAACTCATTCAAAATGTTAATGAACTATAATAATTTCTCAATTATACTAAAATAACACAGCATATAATCTTAATGGCAGCTCATATTCTAAGCATAAGCACCAGTATTTGAATAAAATTTATTAAAATTCTAAATTTCCCCATTTTACTGAATATAGCATATTAAACAAATTTTAAATACATAGCAATACATTTTTTTTTTTTTTACAAATTCTGTTTTTCGTTTGTCACTCCAATGGAGGAATGACCCGTGGGCCTTTCTGACCTACAACGAGAGGCGAGTCTTCCTCTTTATCCAGGGTGTCTGGACTGCTGCCGTGGTCCAGCAGGAAACAAGTGTTGTCCAAAAGACCTTTCTCCACCGCTAAGAAGAGAGCCGTCTTACCCTGACGAGTCTTTCTGTGCTTGGCATCCTCAGGAGACGCTGATGAACAGAAGAGATCACAGTCACTGCTGTCTAGACATATAAGATCAACAATGATGATCAGAAACAAAGTGCATCCTCGTGACAGACCGGTAAATGTGATCTCAAGGATGTTCTGGTTGTTCTGTATGGCGGCCTCGTGTAAGGGGATGTAGCCTGTGTCGTCTTCTTCAGAGATAGCTTGCTGATGGACAGTCAGCTTACGGAGGGACTTTTCATCACCTGATAACACATCCAGAGAACGACATGAGTGAACAGAAGCTTCTTAACCAGCTGAATTATTCTGGTGAACTTCATAGCTATGCCGTGGCTAGACCAGCACCAAACCAGCAAAAACTAGCATGAACCAGAACATGAAGTTAATGAAGTATTTTCAGAAGTGAATGCACATGCTGTTTAAATGTGATGATAATCAGCGTAGTTAAGAACATATTCAGGAGAAACTCGTGAAACATATCTAGGTCATATAAGCAAACAAACAAATAAATAATAAATTATATTTTAAGTAAAAAAAAAATCTACACTGAAAAAAATTATAAATGCAACACTTTTGTTTTTGCCCCCCATTTTTCATGAGCTGAACTCAAAGATCTAAGACTTTTTCTATGTACACAAAAGGCCTATTTCTCTCAAATATTGTTCTCAAATCTGTCTTAATCTGTGTTAGTGAGCACTTCTCCTTTGCCGAGATAATCCATCCACCTCACAGGTGTGGCATATCAAGATGCTGATTAGACAGCATGATTATTGCACAGGTGTGCCTTAGGCTGGCCACAATAAAAGGTGTAATATTTTTAATGCTGAAAAAATGGCTGTACCACACAATAATAATCACCATTGGGAATACATGGAAATTTACAATGAGAGTTTGGGGGAAATGAGCTTAATTAATCGTCATGAAAAATATTGTACAATGCAAAAAAGAAAACAAAAAAATACTTAATAGTCCTGATAATCATTATGCAATCAAGCACACCTCTCAAAAAATGCATAACTTCAATGAGAAAAAAATAAATAAAGTATTTATGGAAGTATCTGTTGTACTGCTTTGATTTCATCTGATTTTAATAAAAAAATATATATTCCAGCATTTTCTTATAATGTAGAACAAATGATAATAATCTCCTTTGAGAATATAATTGAAAAATACTGTTACTACTACTAATAATAGTAATTAAGTATAAAATAAGTACACATCTAGACACATTACACTAATGAGAAAATGGGTGAAAATGTGTTTATTTGTCATGGAAATATTTATTTAAAATATCCAAATATAAATAAAATATACAATTAAAAAACTTTACAGTTTGCTCCACTTTCTTTTTTCTTTTGGTATGAAATATGACCTTGTCATTGTGTGATTGATCCATTCATACCATGCTTTATTGCATTGAATATCTTCTCTCTCTCAGGGGTGATCGGAATGACCCTGCAGACAAAAATACAGCAGATTTCATTCAGGCAGCAGCAGCAGCAGCACAAATGAATCTGAACTTATTGAAAGTTTGAAGTGTCTTTGACCTGCAGGATTCACCGGAGAAAGAGCTCCTGGCCTCCGCTTGTTTGCGGCGCTGCAGGAGACTCTGCTCGATCATCAGTTGAGTTGCCACATCCTCGTCAAAACCCCCTCCAGGTGTGTCCAAATCCATCACACTGTCCTACTGGATACTGATTATAGACACATCTTTTATGAACACGGTCGAGAAAAGCCATCACGTGACCCGCGATCTGCACGCAAACTATCTGCCGCTCACGTATTTGCAAACATTTACATTTAGTCATTTAGCAGACGTTTTTATCCAAAGCGGCTTACAAATGAGGACAATATAAGAGCAAGAGCAATAATATAAGTGCAAATGAAGTCTCGGTTAGCCTAACACAGTACACATAGCAAGGTGTATATATATATATATATATATATATTATACACACACACACACAAACAAAGAAAAACAAGTAGATAGAATAGAAAAAATAGAAAGCTAGTTTTTTTTTAAATAAACAATAAAAAAAAAAGATAAATATAGATAAATTAGAATTAAAATAGAATAGAAAGTGTTAGAGTTAGAGGGTCAAATAAAGGTGGAACAGATGTGTTTTTAGTGGTTTCTTGAAGATGCGTGCAAACAACACGCAAACTGTAAATAACACCACGTGCGAGTCTAAAAGCGAACATGAGCAAATAAATATGATGTTTAACTCCTTTAAAGGCAGGGTATGTAATTTTTCAAAAACACTTTAGAAAACTGATTCGGGCTGAATAGCAAAACAAACTTGTAGCCAATCAGCAATAAGGGGCGTGTCTACTCGTGAAGTGGAGGAGAGAGAGTTCAGTGCACGGGACGGACATTAGCCGAGCCGAGCAACAGAAAGATAGAGATGGCGGATAAAAAACAAAAGAGGAAAACGTCTGCGGAACGATAAGGCAAGAAGTAGGACCCGTGTAAATATCGGATCAGCTTTCCAGCGCTGGAGAGAACTCAAGGAGCGGAGGCCTGCGATCGGACGCCGAGGTTGCTTTGTTTCTTCTCGATAGGTGATTCACAACGTGTCTACAACAGCTAAAGTCTGCCTACACTGGACGCGATCAAACGACCATTGAAAACCATTTGAAATTTGTGTCAGACGGCAGCAGTTTTCTGTCGGGGATTTGTTGCGCCGCGCCGCTCACCGCCGTAGACACGGTGTAACATTGGTTTTGCTTTGTTTCACAGAACTAATCGTTGCCTGGGTTGCGTAGTATATGTGGGGTGGAGTTATCAAAATAGGGGCAAGACCCTTTTGGGGTAGGGGCGTGTTTGTTTTGGTGATTTCAAATATCAACATTGGCTACCAGAAATCGCTTACCCCACCTTTAATCTGTATTAACGCGTATCAAAGTCTGTCAATATAACCACGTAATAATTCATTCATTTTGCGTGTCTAGCTAAATATAAAAAGTAAACAAAACGCTAACGATTTACACCAACTGCGCTATTAGACTTACGAACGTTTAAAATGACATTTTATCCAAAATATTAGGCATTTTATTTACACGTTACCTTGCAAGTGTTGTTGTTGCGTAGCCTACGTCGATCCAGTTTGTTTGGGGGGCATCGCTGTGACTGCATACTAGGTTATTTAGGTCACAGGTCTTCTATAAATACCTGATCATGCGACACAGAAGGGCACTTCAGAGGATCCAGACTTCTGGATCAGAGCAGATAACTAATAATATCTCTATTTTGACAGCGCAAAGAAATGGATATTAAAATCATTATTTATATATTACATTTATATTGCTTCTGGCTGCGTTGCATGCAGTGTAATACTTTCTGTGCATACAGAAAATGTGCATATACTGTGACAGTTTAGATATTATGCAGAAACAGGACTAGTATTTTGTTAAGCCAACTTCGAAAATGATATATTCTCTGGATATAAATAAATAGTATATGAAACAGAAATCACTATGCATCACACTGCATTTTTTATCTAATTTCAAGTCACCTTTAGGTCTGAATACGTACTGGATGTATAAAATCATGTATAAAAAGGGCCACATTTTGGAAGTCGAATAAAATAAAATAAAAGTAGTTAAATAGATCTAGTTAAAATAAAAGCAGTACATTTTATAGGAACAACAGAATTTTTGAGAAGAGCTGCATCAGCAAGTTAAAGAAGTTGACTGTTCTGCCTGAGGAACAAAAGTGGAAATTCATAAAATGCTTTTCATAAAATAATCATATGTTGTATAAAAATCTCTCACAGGGTTATGAGGTAATTCAGTTTGAGAACAGAAACACACTGATAATTGCATATGCGAGTCAGCAGCAGACATGTGACACAAGCGCACAAATGCATTAGAGAAAACTGCTTTAACACACCGAGTACTTCAGCTTTTGGGTTAACTTAAAAAGAATGAAATTCAGCCTCTGAGAGTTGATAGAATTACATTCCAGGTTGATTCTAGGCCAGGACGGGCTTGACACCAATCTGACAAAACATATTTCATCACTTCATATCTCACCTTATGTGTTCCTGTCCTAATCTTCATTTGTCTTTTTGAAAGGTGGTTTGTCTCGGTCTATAATCTCCTTCAGACGTGTCTGGGCCATATCATGTCTGCAAAGAATAAGGATGTATTTATTAATAACACATCTGCTAATAACATATATATGCACCTGCATTAGTGCATCTCATTCCCAGATTTCTTAAGGTTTATCTGTAAATTATATTGATTGTATTAATGAAACGTATGACTGTTCAGTTGTAGGAAGGCAATAATGGCAGAAATGCACTGGTGTGTATCACTTCAGCTGATACAGAGGCATTTGAATCCCAGGCTATATTTAAAACCAGCCACTCAGAGATCAATAAACCTGACCTTACTCGGTTGATCAATGACAACTAGCGAATGTAGCCACTGTTTAACATGAGATGCAAATGTTCAGAAGTAAGGTAATAAGTAAGGCTTGGTTTGGTCACTTCTTTTAATCTAATTTTATGTCAAATTATATTCAAATATGATATTTTAAATTGCTTAAATTAAAGCAGTTGTAAACGGGGTATGTCAGACAAGCTAAAAAAAATTAAATAAATAAAATAAAATAAAAAATCAGATGCAAACTAAATAGGACACACAGGCTAAAGAAAATAAAATGTACAATAAAGAAATATAATTTTAAATATTTCAGAAATCAGTAAAAGGAAAAGACTCCAAAATTAAAAAAAAAATGTATACATACATTCTTATTATACATTTTTTCATATATATTTAAAATTATATTTCTTTATTGTACATTTTATTTTCAAAGTTGTATACTTCATTTTGTGAGTTATCATCTCAGAAATAAATATGATTATTTTGCTATTTTAATTCATTTTTATAAAAAAAATTAAAGTTTGGGAACATAAGAAATGACATTGTATAGTCACAAAAAATATCAGCTGTAAACTGTATATGTAGGAAAAACAGACAAATAAAATAAAAATCACTGATTTCTAAACAGCTTGCTAACTGTCTCTTAGCCGAACTGAACACTACATGAAAGCTGTAAACTGAGTAATAATAACAGATTTCTCTCTCTGTCTTCTAACAGTAGACGTTGGAGGGCTGTGAAAGCATCAGTCGCAGGTGCAGTGAGACGTCTGCTCTGCCAAATCCTTCTGTTACATTATCCAGCATCTCCAGCACCTGCAGAGAGTGAGATTGAGCCCAGCGGGTGTGATAGTGAACACGACACAACCACCGCAGCAAAAACACACAGTCTATGGACAGGCTGCATGTGCTTTCCTGCAAGTCAAGCATCACTATATTCACTATAAATAGGGTTAGTGATCTGAATAAATCCTTAAGAGTGAGTGTGATGCAGACACGGACACCTTAAATAGTGCAGCTATTACTTTTTGAAGCATTTATTTTTGCCTAGCAGCTGATAAATTGGGGAAAAGGCATATTATAAAAGATTATAAAAGACTTGATTTATTTTATGTGGTTATTATACTAACTATAAAACTTTAAACAGGAAAATAAATAAAATAAGCATGAACTGAAATAAAATAAATATGAAGACATGCACTGTGAGCTGTAAGGTCTTATATAGACGGGTGTGTGGCTTTCCTAATCAAGTCCAGTCAGTATAATCAAACACAGCTGGACTCAAATGAGGGTGTAGAACCATCTCAAGGATGATCGGAAGAAATGGACAGCACCTGAGTTAAATATTTGAGTGTCACAGCAAAGGGTCTGAATACTTAGGACCATGTGATATTTCAGTTTTTCTTTTTTAATAAATCTGCAAAAATGTCAACAATTCTGTGTTTTTCTGTCAATATGGGGTGCTGTGTGTACATTAATGAGGAAAAAAAATGAACTTAAATGATTTTAGCAAATGGCTGCAATATAACAAAGAGTGAAAAATTTAAGGGGGTCTGAATACTTTCCGTACCCACTTTATATTATATATTTTTTTACAAATGATCAAATTTGTAATTACATTAAAAAATTTAAACTTTTTTTACTGAAATGGCTAAAACTAAATAAAACAAACAAATAAAATTGAATAAAAACTATATAGACAGTAACAAACTAGTAAAAATGACAAAACTGCACAACAAAATTAAAGTGAAAACAGATATTACATAAAAGCAAAATATTAATGAAAAATTATTAAAATATATTAATTATATTAAAATAATAATGCAGATGCAAACTATATAGAACACACAGGCTAAAGAAAATAAAATGTATAATAAAGAAATATAATTTTAAATATATATGAAAAAATGTATAATAAAAATTTATGTATACATTTTTTTATTTTATTTTGGAGTCTTTTCCATTTACTGATTTCTGAATAGCTTGCTAATGTCTGTAGGTTGTATACTTAATTTTGTGAGTTATCATCTCAGAAATAAATATGATTATTTTGCAATTTTAATTCAATTTAAATAAAATGAGCATGAACTGAAATAAAATATAATAAATATGAAATTTATATATATATTATATTTTTTACAAATGATAAAATTTGTAATTAGATTAAAAAATGTAAACTTTTTTTACTGAAATTGCTAAATCTAAATAAAACAAACAAATAAAATTGAATAAAAACTATATAGACAGTAAAAACTAGTAAAAATGACAAAACTGCACAACAAAATTAAAGTGAAAACAAATATTACATAAAAGCAAAATATTAATGAAAAATTATTAAAATATATTAATTATATTAAGTTATATTAATTATATATACTATATTTATTTATAAATAATGAAATATAAAAACGTATAAGTACTGAAATAACTAAAACATAAAAACAGAAGATATTAAATAAAACCTAAATATTAGCAAAAACTATAAAAGTATTTCAGTGATACTAAAATCAGATCGCGCTGAATTACAGTTGGGTTGCACATGCAGTCAGTCAGAAAATCAGTATTATTGGTGTAGTGAAGGCATCTGCGCGCATCGTTCCCATTTTACACCCATGTGCACTTGGATGTGTAATGTCCCAGAAACAATAACAGCTGCTTCTGAAATCATAGAGCTTTAAAGATGAAATACTGCTCAGATGGGTAAAACCAGAGCCTAATGTGACCTCATCTGTACTGTCTACACTAACGAGGGCGTAGGTTTGATTTTGGCATTAGTGGGCATAACGGCAGACATTTAACTGTTTGATTAAAATTATTGCTAGGGACAATTTAGTATAGTGACTGATATTGTTAGGGACATATCATAGTGCCTCTGCACCCTTGGACACCAGACAGATCTGACTCACAGCAGACCAAGACACTTACAAAGTGCTTAATGGACCGTCAACAAATGATTAGTTCTGCTACAAGTCCGCCTGACAACCGCTTTGCAACACCCTAGAAACCACAAACAATATGTACTCACCCTCAGGCCATAAGATGTATGAGTTTATTTCTTCATCAGATTTGGAGAAATGTAGCATTGCATCACTTGCTCACCAATGGATGCTCTGCAGTGAATGGGTGCCGTCAGAATCAGAGCTGATAAAAACATCACAAGTAATCCACACCACTCCAGTCCATCAGTTAAGGTATTATGAAGCCAAAAGCTGTGTGTTTGTAAGAAACAAATCCATCATTAAGGTGTTTTGAGGTGCTAAAATAAGAATCTGTAATGATGCTTCTTCCAATGAAAAAGTCCATCTCCTGTTGACTTCCCACATCAAAATCCACCAAAGTATTTGTTAAGAACTGTTTTGGATTGGTCTGATTCAGACAAAACAACTTTTTCTCTGGAGGAAGCGTTACTATGGATTATGGACTTTTATTTTAACCAGAAGCAATGGCTGGACATTAAAAATGGTTTTGCTTCTTACAAACACGCAGCTTTTCACGTCACAAGCTCATTCAGATGATCCTGCAGATCTAAAACATCAGGTGTTTACTTCAATTTCTCATTTCTCTTCCACATCATTTCCCTTTAACTTTTAATAAGAGTTTCTGCATGATCCAATCCACACCTGTAGTGTCTCCTCTCCTGGAAGAAACCTGACCAAATACATCATACAAACCAGTGAACATTTTACTGAGTACCAACAGAGCCGTCAAATGAGCAGATGCACAGAAATAAACACCACAAATGTGTCCTTAGTCCC